AGATACAGATAAAGTTTTCCTATTCGTAAGCTTAGATCTTTATAACTCCTTCTGATTTTTCCTGTTTTATTAAATTAAAGCATTGTTTCGGGTCTTAAAATCGTGAAAAAAAAAACAAATAAAAACCCTTCAATGATAGATAACTTTTGTGATTTCTCTTCCATGAAAATTCCTTGTATTTTTATCCCAAACTATTATCATAACATTAGTTCAGCAAGCAAAACGTTCATTAAAGTTCGAAGTAATAAAATAATATTTAAGTATATTTACCTTTATATAACACAAAAATTAATTATTTTCGATTATAAACTGCTTTAACAGTTAAATAAATTACAAAATATTACAATGTTAAATAATGGACTGACTAAAAAAAAAAATTACTCATTATACAGTAATAAGTTCATCTCTTATCATTTTATACCGGTCATTGTCGATGAAATTAAAGGAAGAATGGGTCAAAATAAATCTCTCCATGCACTGAACTGTAAAAATGTATCGAAACTTTAATAGAAAAACCTCCACAGACTAAATATGGAAATAACAGATCTTCAATTGCCTCAAGCAAAAATCACGTATCCGAGACTAACAAAGCGGCTCACCCCCTTTCAATCTTTTAACACTTTTTTTTTATTATTTTTTTAAATAAAATCCGCACTCACGGATCATTGTTTAAATTTAAAACTCGCACATAAGCAGGTTTAGATACTGTATTTCGATGTACTAAAAGATAGATGTAGCGTGTAACGAAATTTATCATTCGATAGATCTTAATGACGTTTCCGAACCGCCCCACCTTTTGTCATTTCTAGATTTAATCTATTTTCAAATGGGGGGAAGATAATATTAGCATTCGAGTTTCTCACCGAGTGAGGAATTTAATCTCTAGGCGTTTTTTGAAGTGCAGGTGCAACTTTGTTATTTCTCTGCTCCTGTTTCTCTTCAATCGAGAAGTAACTTGACTCTCGATATCGGGTACGAGAGGGAAGGACAGAGAGAGAGAGAGAGACAGAGAGCAAAGGTCATAAGACGAGATGGAAGTACCAGCCACAGGATGTCAATTCTTTTACTATAAAGTTCCCCCATTAAAAGTACAGGCATTTTATTTTCTGTTTTTAAAAATTTCCCATCTAGAACGACCTTCTCACAACATTCGTTATTGGGGACAGAAAAGAAAAGTCTCTTTTGGCGAGACTAATGCCAATTGTCCTTAGAAGAACCGCGCCTTTCTCCGTGGAAGAAAGTAACCAGTAAGGAACATGCCTATGACGTCAAATAGTATATCATCGATAATGACCTTCATCTAAGACGATATAAATCTAATTATATATATGCCAAAGTTAGATTTATATAAAATCTATTTAGCGGAGACGGTTTTAGTGTTGAACATGTGTGAACCTGTATAGTGTTTAAATGCCAAGTTACCCTTAATTTTCCACCCTATAACACACGAATAATAACAATTTATGGTTATTACAACGTACCATAAGAATCGCTCTGAAATAAAGACGAATGTTTCGTTAGATTTAAATTATTTATAATTCTACAGAGAACAAATCAGAAGGGTGGAAAAACTACTTTATAGTTTCAAAATGTGTAAATCTATTCTTCTATTAGTTTCTGTTTTAACCCATATTTACAACAAATTAGTAAGGAATATGGAAACATTTCTGCAAACTCTCCAGTGACAAAAAGTCCCTCGGTGCCCCATGGCCACTAAGAAGAACTTTTCACTAGACCAATCGTGGGTTCGGCCAGATCCATAATTAGGTAGTCATATGGTAAGAGAGGATATATTCCTAGGGTTTTCGATCGCCTGGATTTGTTCCTGGGTACCCAGAGCCCCTTAACTAGCGATCCGGCCTTAAATTCTCCACTAAGAATATGATTAAAGACTTATATCACATGCCAGCTATTTATATCATTTTCTTGATCTACATCTACGAAACCACACCTAGTATTATTGAAAGAAAATTCCAATAATACTTCAGATTTAATTATAACTTTCTTTCCTCTGTGGTATATTATATCCCATAAGAGGTAAACGCCTATTAATTTCTTCACTCAACATAATTTCATACAAACTTTAATTACGAAGGTAACTTATAAAAGTTAAATTTTTAAAATATAATTGAATACACAGTGAAAATCTGAATAACAAATTACTAATGACCTTTTTATTTTTCTATCTTTTATCTTGGAACAGTATAGCCTTTGTATGCGAAAAAGTCACACAAATCATTAATTAATTAATTAATTAATAAGAATTTTTCGTGGGAGGTCTGTTTAGTCCTATCTATCCCTCACTAATCGACAATAGAACGTGACCCGCAGTGGGGTTAGAAACGATACTTCGAACCTTACTGCCTATGATTTATCATTAAACATAGGAAATCCTATCCCTAATAACCCATCGAGCAATTATTTAAGTTTAATTGAGATTAGATTTCCTCATTATCTGATCGTATTTGGGTGACAATCCACAAGTAAAAAGTTAAACGACGATTTATTTACCTCTTGTTTTCCTGTTATCCTCCCCACTGAGTCTCTAATGTGAAAAAAAAAAAATTGAGGCCAAGACGAAAATCCATAAATAATATCTTTCAGTTAGATTAACCTAATTCAATTTTCGTTTAATATACATCATTTCAATGAATAACGGTAGAAAAATTTATAGGTAAATTAATAAGAATTAATGACGCGAGAAGACGAGTGAAAGGAAAATTTATTCACCACAGATACGTTTAAATAATTGAGGAAATTGATTGATGATGAGATAAGTCAACGTAACACTTGGAAAATCTTCCTGGAAAACTTTCTAAAGAAAACTGGCCATTATTTAGATGTTCGAAAAACTCCACGTGACAGGACGTTAGCGAGGCGCAAACCCACGACCAATTATCTCTGTGTTTAGAGAATTTTTCGTTATCTTTGTATTATAAACGATAGTATTATCATCAAATTAGTGACTTTCAAACACTTTAAAATCAAAGTGTATTAGCATTACTGTGATCAGAGCTATTATATCCTCCACTAATGCAATTACTTTGTCTCAATTCAAAGTACAAATTTGACTTTAAAAAATTTAAGTTTCTTCCTATAAAATAAGCTTAAAGTTCGAATCAAAGATACCCTTCTTCTAAATCGATGAATTGTATTTGAATTCCTAAATAATCGCCATTAAATAAGACATCAATAAAAAGTTTTAGTGATTTGGTATAAAAAAAAGACCATCCTTTCATTCCGCTGAGAATTCGGAAATGGTACTTTCCCCATGATAAAATCATGGGGAAAGTACGAATGTTCTTTATTATTCTCTAAAGGAAACTGTAGAGAATAATAAGCCATTGGTGCAAGTCTATTGCAGGTACAGTACAGTACATTGAACTACAATATGATTAACACTTATGAATAATATAAACCTACCTTAAAAAAAGAATATAACTATTCTAATGATCCGTTATTTAAAATTTTCTCGATTTTTTACGTACTAATTACAGTTAATCTTCTTTTTATAGTTGTTATTATTATATAATACCATTCATTGCAACCAAACTCTTTATTATCAAAAAGTAATTTTGATAAATATATTTTTAAAGGACCTAATTTTAGAAAGTATTTTTAATAAAAACTAATAATTGTGATGCCAGCTAAGAATTTCGTATAGCATTAAATAATGTTTATATAGAACTACTGTATTTTTAAATTATACCACCTGATAATACTTAAATAACAATTTTTTTTTTTTTTGAAAATTTTAAGTTTAAATTAAATTTTATGTGTATTTTAATTAATTAATATCTCTTGTTTCTGTATAGATTTATTAATGGGATGATTCCAGCATATTTAAACTATATATGAGACTATAATTAATCTCAAATCTGACCCTGTCAACATGGGATCAGATAAACGAATCCTGATCCCTATTGTTTATAGGAGTTTGGGTTTAAACTCACCTTGGGAGGATGCGGATTAGAGTCCGATTAGACTGAGAAATTTCGTGGGCTCATCAATTTTGCAGTGAAATGATAAGGCAAAGAACTTTATTGGAATGCATCAGGGGCCATTTTCTGGCCACTGTCTCTGGTCTCTCATCTCTCGCAAGCCAGTCGTTGATTGGCTAATCCAAATGATTAGCCAATCAGCGACCGGCTTGCGAGAGACGAGAGACAGTGACCAGAATATGGCCCCTGGTCTCACTCACGCCTCATTACTTCTTCTTTTCCCATTGGGAACCTGGTCGAACCCATGATAGGTATTAGAAAAACTTTTTAATGCCCACAGGATAAACGAACCAATTATTAATATAAAGACTTATAATTTAGTATTACTTCTGAATTCGTGAATTTTGATTATATAATAGTTTTGACCCAATCATAAATACATATAAAAAAAAAAAGAATAAGTAGTTGTTAGATTTAATAATCTTTTTATTTTATGTATAAAGTTGAATTTAACCAGCAAAAAGCCCTTTAGTAATTTTGAATTTAATTAATACTTTAATAATAGATTAATAATTATAATTAATCTATTAATAATGATGTAAATAATGATTACCGCTTGGTTTCTATTGAATAAGTCTTATAAAATCTTACAATTTATTAATTATCAATCTATTAAGCTTATAATAAGAGAAAGGATGTAAAATACGATTGAAATTATTAATATTTTCTTAGATAATGTGTTAAAAAAGGCCGACTTTTCAGTATTCTCAGGCAGTAATTTACTTTCCTTTAAGTAATTTTAAGCAAAGAACCACAAGTAAGACTCAGTTTTATTCCTCTTCGGAGTACCAGTCGCGGCTCGACTCTCCCCAAAGTCACGGTATGCCATGACGTCACAAATCTGCGCACGTCTATCTTGGAAGCGGAACATCCTCTCTCGATCTACATTATAACAAATGAGTGTTTAGTTATGCCCTTAAATAAACGGTCCGTAAAGTAATAAATTGGTAAATAGATAGAAGTTTCTTATCAATTAATTATCCTTTTATTATTTGGTAGGTGTGAAGGAGTGTCAGACGAGGAAAGAAGGAACCGTTTTCGGTTTGTATCGACAACCGAAACCCATGGACAGCGATGTACTGCGCATCTCTGGCCGCGTTATCTACGACGATACAGATATCAGTCACCCTCCGGGGGAGGACGAATTTGGTGAATTACCACCCGAAGAAGTAGTCGACAATGTTAACGAATGTTATAATGTAAAAATTAATGCACCCCAACGCGTCCTGGTCGAAGGATTTCACGATTTCTGCCAGACAATGTTGTCTATCTACGACGTTGCTAGAGAAACAACCCCTACGAATACCGAATCGAAAATTATTTTGAATAAAACTCATTCGGATCCCGTTCCTGCTGTTGTTAAAGAGACTCTTAAACCACGTTACAGTCTTCCAACTGGAAGAATATTCTCTTGTACTATTAAACCTACGGAAAAAGTTCGAGACGACGAAGCTATGGAGGCAATTCAAGAATTAGACGCTTCTATAGATGGTGTTTCTACTACTGAAAACACACAAAATTCTTGCAAAAATTCAGAGATTGAAGATGATAAGAAACCGGAAGTACAAACAGATAATTTGATCGAAGAAGTTGTTCTTCTTTCTTCTAATCAAAGGAGTTTTTCATCTTTTCCTTCTCCGGCTCTTGATAGGGATAAGAATGAATCTAAACCATCTAAACCCGTATCTACACAAAATGAAGATACCAGTTTAGTTCCTACTAAAGACATCATCACTTCCGAAGGCAAGTTTAAATATATATATTTTTTTCATTTTATTCGTATATTTTTATGTTTTTTTCTCAGAGAATCGGGTTCTCTCGTATGCAAATAATCCTCATCTCATCTCTCTCGTGTCTTCAATGTACAGTACATTATATAATAATAATAATCGTTTTTATATTTAGAAAAGAAGAAGAATTTCGTAGATGTATTTACCTCTTGTTTTCCTGTTATCCTCCCCACTGAGTCTCAAGTGAAAAAAAAAAATTGAGGCCAAGACGAAAATCCATAAATAATATCTTTCAGTTAGATTAACCTAATTCAATTTTCGTTTAATATACATCATTTCAATGAATAACGGTAGAAAAATTTATAGGTAAATTAATAAGAATTAATGACGCGAGAAGACGAGTGAAAGGAAAATTTATTCACCACAGATACGTTTAAATAATTGAGGAAATTGATTGATGATGAGATAAGTCAACGTAACACTTGGAAAATCTTCCTGGAAAACTTTCTAAAGAAAACTGGCCATTATTTAGATGTTCGAAAAACTCCACGTGACAGGACGTTAGCGAGGCGCAAACCCACGACCAATTATCTCTGTGTTTAGAGAATTTTTCGTTATCTTTGTATTATAAACGATAGTATTATCATCAAATTAGTGACTTTCAAACACTTTAAAATCAAAGTGTATTAGCATTACTGTGATCAGAGCTATTATATCCTCCACTAATGCAATTACTTTGTCTCAATTCAAAGTACAAATTTGACTTTAAAAAATTTAAGTTTCTTCCTATAAAATAAGCTTAAAGTTCGAATCAAAGATACCCTTCTTCTAAATCGATGAATTGTATTTGAATTCCTAAATAATCGCCATTAAATAAGACATCAATAAAAAGTTTTAGTGATTTGGTATAAAAAAAAGACCATCCTTTCATTCCGCTGAGAATTCGGAAATGGTACTTTCCCCATGATAAAATCATGGGGAAAGTACGAATGTTCTTTATTATTCTCTAAAGGAAACTGTAGAGAATAATAAGCCATTGGTGCAAGTCTATTGCAGGTACAGTACAGTACATTGAACTACAATATGATTAACACTTATGAATAATATAAACCTACCTTAAAAAAAGAATATAACTATTCTAATGATCCGTTATTTAAAATTTTCTCGATTTTTTACGTACTAATTACAGTTAATCTTCTTTTTATAGTTGTTATTATTATATAATACCATTCATTGCAATCAAACTCTTTATTATCAAAAAGTAATTTTGATAAATATATTTTTAAAGGACCTAATTTTAGAAAGTATTTTTAATAAAAACTAATAATTGTGATGCCAGCTAAGAATTTCGTATAGCATTAAATAATGTTTATATAGAACTACTGTATTTTTAAATTATACCACCTGATAATACTTAAATAACAATTTTTTTTTTTTTTTNGTGTGGTATAAAATAAAAATACGTATGTATCTTGGGAGAGGGACAATTTACAGTTACAGAAATACTGGGGTATAGACCGACGCCCGTTTTAGACAGATCTATAAAAATGTTTTATTTAACCGCTTAAATAATTTTTTCGAAAATGAAAATTTAAATAGAAGCTGCTGTATTAGTTGACCAGTTTTTAAATAAAATAAGCTCAATATGGTCTTGTTTTGCGCAAGACTGATATATTTAGATTCGTGTTTTTTGCGAATGACTAGATTAATCCTTAGATGAACGGGGGTAATTCTAACGAGTAAGTATATACACGTTATTTATTATTATTTTTACTATGAAATTTATTGTAGAGAAAAAGTAATGTAATAAAATTTATAAGCTATTAGATCATATGGTTCGTCTAGATTTAAATAATCAATATTACAACATATTGTTTAGAAATAAGAAGTAAACGTAACATATAATTAAATCAATTAGGCTATGAATTAAATAATTGGCAATTATTGAAGATTTTGCAAATATATTTGTCTGATTATTTGTAGAAATAAGAATAAATATTCAATATTTAGTTAATATTCCAAATGCAGATAATTAATTCGCATTTGCTAAGTGTAACCAGCGAAATCGGACGATGAAAAATTAGCTTTATATAATAAATAAATATAGCACTTATAATAACAACATAAACGTCAACTTGTACTGATAAAATAATTTGTGAATGGCAGTAAAGTCTTAATGCAAAATTAAAAAGAAGATAAACGATCCAAAACTGTTGATTTTTTTTTTCAGAGTGTAGCCTTGAAATCCTGAATTTCCGTTGCAGTTCATTCAGATCGACAGTATCGAAGTTCGAAGTTTCTGTACAAGAATTTCATAACGTGTCTCTTCGTAGATGCTGTTTCTAATAAATTCATCATCATTCTAGTGCTTTGTTAACTCTGAAACTTTATTAATAAGGCAGATTATTCTCTGGCAAACCTTTGAGTTACAGACTACGAAACCTCTCGTTCCTCGTGTCATTGAAATTGTCATCAGCTAATAGTAAGTTCTTTTAATTTTACGCAAATTAACGCCATAAGAATATGTTATTGAATAGATGAAACAGAATACATGAACATTCAAAATTCTTCTCCTTTAAAATATGATTTTTCATATAAATAATTACGCCTTCTTTGGGATCTTAAAATGGCTTAAATCATCGCTTTACGACGCTTTTCCAATTAAATTCGTAGTTATTTGTATTATTTTTGTCGCTTGCCAAGCTCTTAAGAGAGTTTTCGGGATTTTATTTATTTATTAATTATTTTTACTTTTGTTTCACGCGCCTTTTTTAGACCTAACGCTATTGCGCACCACATAAACAATGGTGTAAATGCTTTCGTGGGCTTTTTTTATGCACTGGAAAGTGAAAAAAAGACTGTGATTCGCTTTACGGCATACAAAAATGTTCTATTATTCTTCTTTTAAACAATTTGTAACTTAGGAATAATGTTAAAATATTATATAAAGTTACAAATTGTTTTAAAAGAAAAACAATAGAACATTTTTGTATCATAGCATATGCAAATGTAATAAATCTGAATATCGGGATGAATGTAGATGCTTGCTGGGAAAAAATCACACAGCATAAGAGGAATAGAAATGGTTAACGTTCATTATGCTCAGTGATGAGGCTTTATTGTGAAGCTCATCGTTTGAGCGCCGGTCCTCGGGCCTGGGCGCTGTTGGCTATTTTTGTGAATGGTCGCTACCTGCTTGGCACCTGGGCTGGGGGACTTGTCTCCCATTCATTAGGGGTAGTTGTACCGGATGTCCGGTTGGTTTTATCGGTCGGCATTGCTAAACTTTATCCGCACTGAATTTTATGAATATGAAGTTATTGGCAATTGAAGTTAAGGTTTAGTATATCTACGTTATTTGTTTGTCTGCTAAAATAAATCACTCGAAGTCGGATAAGAGAGAGTAGTTTTACTTGATTTTAATCTAGAAATTATTTTATTAATTTTTAAGATTTACAACAAAAATGTTTACGAAGAATTGATTTTTAGCATCGTAATTTGGACTTTTATTTTAATTATTTTTGTAATTTTTAAAAGTTGCCATAGTTAAGTGTAATAAATACGGTACTATATATATATATATATATATATAATAAACTTAGATAAATTTAAACCAATTACAACAATTTTTAAATGCAAACAAACTTGTAAACAACGGCCATTAACAGGAACTAACAGGACTGGAGGTGGCCGTTGTTTGGAGGTTATAAACCAATTACAACAATTTTTAAATGCAGCTAAAGTTATGAAGAGCTGCACAGGGACATTTTAAAATGGCTGCCGTTATTTGGTGTTATTTTTTATTCATTTATATATTTTTTTTTTTACAAAAACAAATCTCTTGAAAAATGGCTTTTGTTTAGAGGTTACCGCTGTAGAGAGGTGGCCGTTATCGGAGGCTCGAATGTATTACATAAATATCCTAGAATAGGGAGCTTTGCATACCGGTTTTTACATAGGAAGATCGTTTCAAACATCACGGGATAATGACCCCATTTCTAAGCAAATTTCGAATTTAAAATCCTAGAAAAATTGCGCATAGAAAAATACTATTTTATTATGTAAATCTTATAGATGTATCTATCTATATATTATTGATTCGTAAAATAAATAAAAGAATTTCTTTATAACAAACAATAATATTAGAAAATTTTACCTCCATTCTTTAGTAAGAAGCATTGTCTCTATCGATTTTCAATTTCTTCTTCTTCTTTTGTTTTTATTTTTATTATTGATTGAAACTATTGATTATTCCAAGATGAATCAAATAAAATAATAGAAAACATTTCTTTATTTTATTTTATTTACTTATTTATTTATTTATAGATGATGCTAATTGGTTCTGCAGCAGTTCCTAATTATAGAGCATTCCTTGAAGAAAATCAATATAAAAGATTTATTGATGATGTCGATTAATGTGTTACTTACTGTACGTGAAAATATATCATTTTTTCTGTGTTTTTCTTTAAATAAATAAAAGATTTATGAACATTAATAATGCTCTTTGGTTTCTTATATAAGATAAATTTACTAATTTTTAACGAAAAGAAAAAGATTTATAACAATTAATTTTATTACTAAAATGAACTTTTTATATAATATTTTTATTTTAAAAAATTACGATAAGATTTTAATTGATGAATTTTTATATATGATGTTGTAGAAATTACACGTGGATCGAGTTGCATCGGTTTGTTTATACATGATACGAGGCGACGCGATTGTTTGCGCCGCGCCGCGTATGTCGCGTGCTTAATATTATCGATGTAATCGTTGCCTTTAAATGTCGACAGAATTTATTTGCTCCGCGACTCGATACAAATGATCAGTACAAGCAACGATTTTTTGATTTATTTATTTATATTAATATATAATCTTTCATTAAATATTTATGAAAATTTTAAATTAAAAAAATTCCGATCGTTACATCTCTTCTTTACGTATTTGCGATGCGACACGACGCGACGTGATTTGTCGCGCATACGCTTATGTTACAAATATGGCATCAATTAC